CAAAACGGAGCTTGATTTTCTGGATTTACTCTGTTCATCTCTTGGCGATGCATTGCGGCTTACACAGAGATTTCATTCGGCATTCGGTTCGATTGCGCACGCAAGTTTGGCTGATGCACGCTGGTTATCGCACTGCGCAGCACAGCTGGTTATCGATCGGGTTTGCTGGCAGTTCGTTGACACATTAAGCGCGGGCGAGCGCGCGCAATAAATAAGCAAGTATGACCTCAATCGGCAAAATATTACCGACAGCCGACAAAGCACCTTCGGTCACAAACCATTATTATGTGCGTTCTTTTTTATGCATATGTGCGCGCACCCAATTCTTGTTTCCTAAATTTTGTTATTTATGCCCACGCATACTCACCTGCCAAGCGCTGTTGTTAATGACTCTTTTGTTGTCTGGGTCACTTGAGTACAATGCAAAAAAAAAATAAATAAATAAATCACAAAAATTAGTTCAAAGTCCTTTTTTCGCAATAGTCGATTTCGATCTCGATTTCAATAACGATTTAAAAGTTTTGCTAAAAACCGCAGAAGAGACAGACAGAGCTAATATGCCGCGCTGCAATAATTCAGATCATCTTTTTGAAATTTTGATTATTTGCTGGGAAACTTTAATGGCTTAAAGGACTGATTTTACGATCGTTGTGTTTTTGACTCATTATTTTTTCGAAATTAGTTCCGTCCTAAATGTAGGCAACGTTAATTTAGTTTTATGGCCAAAATCTCTGCTAAAACATTGCCTACATTTAAGCTGATTACTGGTATTCTGTTATGGAGAACTCATTGTTGGCTGATTTAAATCGTTTTAGCAGTTTTTGTTTATTTAAATTAATTATATAAATATTCTTTGAGCACAAATTTACTAACCTTATGGAGAAGTACTAGAAATTAAAAAAAAAAATATTTATAACTATGCAAAGTGAACAAAAGAGGGAAGAAAATCTGTGAACTCTCCCCAGCTTATCAAGCAAAGTAAATTCAAAGGGACTTCAGTCATACGTGAAGGGTATAAAACTTTCATTTTTGCCTCTTTTTGGAACATTGAAAATTTTAAGCTACGCGGAACGCGTTGAGATTTGAAATCAAAGCATTTATGCCGCCACTTGAACTTGGTTTGTTTTTATTTTTCATTGTTATGCGTACTTGTAGTATACAAACGTATAACTTGTTTTTTGGTTCTCTTTTTTTCTTTTTTTGGGTATATTTATATTATTTGTCGGAGCGTTACGCTACGTGTGATGACGTTGATAGCGGTGTTTCTCTCATTTTTTGCTTTTTCACAGAGATCACTGCTTTTTTTGTGATATTTGGAATTGTTTGCGAACTCGAAAATATTGACGTACTTGTAGATGCCCTGCCGCAAATGTTAATACTTTTTCTTAACCCATTGAATGAGTAGTTTTTTTTTTCTTATCAAGATCGGGGAAGACTCTTGTGAGAGACAGAGGGATGATATAGTAACTTATGCTCAGAGTATACTGAATTTATGGAGGGAACAGTTCTCCAGCCTGGTGAATGGCAGTGAAAATGTAAAAGTAAGAGATGGCGAGGCCGATTCCCCCATGGAGGATGAGGATGGAACACATGTTTCAGCGCTCGACCATAGAGAAGTTCGAATAGCAATCACGCGCTTGAAAAATAACGAAGTGGCGCGGATCAATGGATCGTCGGCCGAGTTATTCAAACGTGGTGTTAAAGAACTTATAAGGTGTAAGAAACAGCTTCTTTTCCAAACATTATCGCATGAGAGCATGCTCGGATATTGCAACCTAATTAAGTTCTGCCCAATCCACAAAAATCGAGAATTTAGCAGTCTGTGCCAATTAACGTGAGACAAACATCCTTAATATCGTATATAAGGACTCGAATCGTTTGATATGAAACGAGGTTTCAGACAGTGTGATTCTTTGTTGTGTGACTTCTTCAATTTGTTATTGGAGAAAGTAATACGAGCTAAACAGCTGAGAGAGTACAGAATGTGATATTGACATTATTGGCCTCAAAAACGCCATAAGGAAGCGAAGTACATGGGTTTGGTAGTGAATGAGAGCTAGGCAAAATATTTTCTATCCTCTAAACAGACAGTAGTCGCATTAATTGCTCACAGATCAGTGGTTTCGCTGGCTAGGTCATGTGAACCCGATGGATAAGAATACTCTAGCTCTGAAAGTTTTCAATGCAGTACAACCCGGTAAAATCAGAGGAAGAGAAAGTCCGCCACTCAATTGGAAAAACCATGCATTGAAGGATCTGGTAATTGCAATTGGTGCCAAATAGGGAAAAGGCTTTAATCGCGTGAGCGGTGTCTACACCAGGAAGAAGAAGAAGTACAACTTCCTACTTTATTCCTTGTTAGCGAGTGTTATTTTCAAAAGATTGATGACTTGCAGAATATGAATTATTCGACTTAACATCAGCTCCAAACTAGTTACATACTAGTTCATTTTTTAATACTGGATTTCTCATAAAGTTAAATTTAAAAAAAGAAATGCTACAGTTAAATGGGAGCGGTGAGACTCATGCACGACTCCTTAACTAATGTGACCCAATAAAACGAAAGGTCATGACAGTTTGCAAAAAATTACAGCAAATCTCGTACTAAACGTTCAGTGTGACCTGCTGAAAGGAAACCTTCTTGCAAATGGCGCGCCACCCTTTCGGAGCAAGAAAGCATGGACAGATGAGTAAAAGTGACCGTCCTCGTGACTTAAAACTCTGTATTGCAAAAAGCCATTGTAGACATTACAAAAAGTACCGTTTGGGTAACCGCTTAAATTGGAAAATCTTTAAAATTTCTTCCAGACTGTAAATGTATCAAAAGTTATCAAAAGCTCTGCTGTGAATCGAAGGAATGTAGGACAAGCACAGAAGAAAATAAAACATTGGAGCAATATTAAACGAATTAGCTGGCTTAAGTCGATTGAGAAGGGCTCCATTTGTAAGCGCCTTGTTCCGAAGCTCCAGCTTTAACCTACTCAATGAGTTTTGACACAAATAATGTCAGACAATGAAGGTGTATCCAATAAAGACTCGTTCAAGAAGAGCCTGGTTCAATTTGGAAGGAAGCAGATAAGCCGCTGAGCCCCCACACCAACTGACACTGGCGAAAGACTATTATGTACGTGTATGTCAAAAATCACCTGATTTACGGTAAAAAAAAATATACTCACAAAAATATATGCAAATATATTTATTTTCGTGCGAACCTTCACAAAAGATACAAAAAAAACTGCGAAAAAAAGTAAAATAAGCAAAGGCGATCAAGGGAAATATCAAAAGAATTGACTGCACCAGACGCTACTTCGACGCATTCAACCAAACAACCATCCATTCAACCCATTGACCCCACGAGCGGCCGCCTTCTTGTTGTACAGAAATTGTCATTCAATAAAATGACATCGAAAAAATTGCTTTCTACTCGAATGGCTAAAGTAAATGCGAAAAAGCATATGTATGTATGTATGTATGTATGTGTGTATTCGTGCAGGTGCATACATGCCTACATACATAGAAAATAATATTGTTGTTTATTCGCAACAATGAATTGCACCTGAATACAGTTACAGTTATTATAAAGCAATCACACGTTTGTATATATATATATATATATACATATATACACGTATATGCGTATAATATGTATGTATGCATGAATGCTGTGCGAGTCTCTTCTGTGCAACGCCCAGCTAAAATTGTTGTCCACTTCCATACCACAGTTTGCCAGTGTTGTCCAGCATGCTACAACAATAAAAGTGGCAACAAAATATTGCAACAACTACCAAATAGCAAAAACAAACAAAAACAACAATATTTCCCCAATATTGTTTTCATGTTTATTTTCATTTACAATTCGTTTATTTATTTGTTGTAAAACATTATTTGTTGTTGTTGTTGTCTTTTATTTCTTTCGCTTTTATTGTTATTATTACTATTATTATTATTATTATTATTATTGTTCCACTCATATTGTTGTTGTTGTTGTTGTTTTCCATACGTTGTTATTCTTGTTGTTTTTGTTGTTATTATTATTATTGTCTTTGTAGCGAGTATCTCTTTAAGTTGTCGGTAAAACTCTTTGATCTTATCGCCAGAGCTTCTTGCTCGCATTTTTGATCAAAGCAAGTTTTTCCGCCGCCAAAGCGGAGGTAAAGAAACAGAAAATATAAAACATACATACATACATACATACATACATACATACATACATACATACATACATACATACATACATACATACATACATACATACATGCATACGTCTGTAAGTAAATATATATATACATGTATTTATATTTATATATATATAAGTATATATTTGTATGTATGTCAGTATGAAAGCAATGGCAATGCTAAAAACAATATAAAAGTAATCAAACCAATAACAACAACAACAACGTCATGCAAGCAATATTACCCAATAAAACAAAGAAAAGGAAGAAAATAAATAAGAAGAAGAAGAAAATAAGGAAGAAAAAGAAGAAGAAGAGGAGAGATGGAGGAGACACCCTACCTATACGAGCTCATACATATATTTGAATGAAGATACACACACACACACACACACACCCATATGTGTACTTATGTATTATTATTTTATTTGTTATATGTGCATTCGTGTGTAAAAGGTGGAAGTAGACTATTGATATTTACATACATATGTACGTACATACATACATACATCTGCAGAATAACGTAGGAAGTGGAATGCGACACAACAACAATGTGTTGATAAACAACAATTGCAGCTAAAATGCTTGTACGTATGTATGTATGTGACTTTTGAATGTCAGCCGGCTTGAAGAGAAACAACAAATTTATTCACGGCAAATCAATAAGTTTACACTCTCAAGAGCGCGCTCTCACACTCTTAAATTGTACAAACTACGCTTTGGCTGCTCTTTCTCACTCTCTCCCTCTGCTCTTACCGCCACTCATTTCTATACACATTTATTTTCTTATCACTTTAATATTTATTTTCCCTCTTCTTCTTTCAGCATAACAGCGCAAACTGCAACGCAAGTACGCACAGCGTTCATTCATGTTCCACAGCGACGTTCCACAAATGTTTTTGCTTGCATAGAAATATTGCCTACTTTAAGGCGCCTAGCAAATGCAGCAGCAACAGCAGCAGCAGAGGAGTAACACTCTTGACGCTATATAACGCTTTCATAATATTTCTCCTCTGCCTGACGACGCCTGAACTCACAAATGCACGTTCCACATCAGCACATCGATCAGCCAGAGCGAGAGCCGCTTTAATGGTGGCACCACCGCCACTAGCCGAGTCATTGGTTGGCAACGCTGCTACATCCGCTACAATTTTGAATTCCACCATGCGCCTTACGTCTACGCACGAAAAGAATACAATCGAAACGAGCGTCGCCACCGGTAAGCCACCGGCGCCGGTTATGGAGAATCGACGCGCGCTTAAGCTTGTGCCCTTCAATAATGCCTCGGTAGTGTGTAATGATGGTTCGCGTGCAGGTTTTTATCTACGCAAACATTTGAACTCGAAGAAATGGATTGTTTTCCTTGAAGGCGGTTGGCATTGTTATGATGCGCCCTCGTGTCGTGCGCGTTGGTTGCGGCTACGTCATTTGATGACATCGGCACAATGGCCGGAGACACGTGATGGTTAGTATTAAGTGTGAAATTTAAGTTAAGTTGAGAGATTGCGTAAAAATCAAATTACTGTTAAAGCGTCTAAGAATCGCAAGAGATTGTAATTTCCCAATATTTTCTTATGCTGGAAATCTCCTCTGGCACATTGCGATCTTATTAATTTTAAGCTAATTTTATTCATTTACTATTTGCAGTTGGCGGCATACTCTCCCCACTGCCCGAAGAGAACCCCTACTGGCACAATGCCAATCATGTGCTGGTGCCCTACTGCAGCAGCGACTCGTGGTCGGGCACACGCGACACCATACACGAGACGACAAAGTTCCGTTTTATGGGCGCCGTCATCTTACGCAACGTGATCGCCGAACTGATACCACTGGGTCTGGGACGTGTTGAAGGTTCAGAGTTACTGCTAGTGGGCTCCTCGGCTGGTGGTCTTGGTGTGATGTTAAATTTAGATCGCATCACAAATTACCTGCAACAAGAACGAAAACTAATGGTAACGGTACGTGGTGTAAGCGATTCAGGTTGGTTTCTCGATCGTGAACCCTACACACCAGCGACGGTGGGCTCTAGTGAGGCGGTACGACAAGGCTGGAAGTTATGGCAAGGCTCACTACCCGAAGCCTGCACGCAGCAATATCAGGCCGAGCCGTGGCGTTGTTATTTTGGTTATCGATTGTATCCAACGCTAAATGGTAAGCGGTTCAAGATTACATTAAGTTTTTCAAAACACTAATCATTTTTTTTGCACACACAGCACCACTCTTCGTCTTCCAGTGGCTTTTCGATGAGGCACAAATGCGTGCCGATAATGTTGGTGCACCAGTCACGCCACAGCAGTGGAACTACATACATGAGATGGGTGGCGCGCTGCGCTCCTCACTGGACAATGTCACCGGCGTTTTTGCGCCATCTTGCATCGGTCATGCCGTGCTTTCCAAACGTGATTGGATTAATATTAAAATTGATGACATCTCACTGCCCATTGCGCTCCGTTGCTGGGAGCACTCCACGCGACCACGTCGCCGAAGACACAATCCTAATAACAAGCAACATCAACAAGAATTGGTACCACACGAACGCAGGCCTCAACGGCCCGACAATCACATGTCCACGCTCAAGCATCGAAGACCACCCACAGCACAACACAAGGAGAAGAAGCAGAACAACCTCGACACTCATAATGGTGTGCGTCCACGTTTAACTAAAGCGGAGCGTGAAGAGCGACGTCGTTTGCGCCATGAACGCCAACAACGCCGGCAACGTAAGTTACAGCAACGCAACAATAACAACAACAAGAAACATCGCAATCGTCATGAGCGCCGCCGCAACGAAGCGGAACGTAAGCGCAACAAAAATCTGTCGCCCAACGATAACGTCACCATATTGCACGAACAACATCCGAATAAAAAGCTACGCACCAACAACAACAACAACAAGCATATCAGTAACGGTGTTGAGCGCAAACAACGACTTGAGCGACCATTGCACAAGGCGCGCAAAGATCGCAGAGAACGACACCAGCAACAGTTGAAGGCGCAACACACCGGCAAACTTGAGCGCCAACAACATGACCGCGCCATCGAGGCGACAACATCAATCCAAGTCGTGTCGCAGCAAAGAAAGCACATGCGTCGCAATCGCGTGCCACGCGTGCCAGAGAAATGCGCGCTCCGTCTACTCGAACGTTGCAGCTGGCCACAGTGTAATCACTCCTGCCCGATGGTCACCAATCCACTGACGGGTGAGGAAATGCGTTTTCTCGAATTGCTCACGTCATTCGGTTTGGATATCGAAGCTGTTGCCGCCGCCTTAGGCATCGATATGCAGACGCTCAGCAATATGGATCGCGCTGAGCTAATCAATCTGTTGACGCAGCAGGCGAGCTGATCGTCGGTGTAAATAGTTAGCTACATATTTATACATAAAAACCGCGTGCTCGATAGTTAGACCTAAGTATGTATGTGTGCGTGTGTGTGTTTGTATGTACGTGTGAAATCTTTGTAAATAATTATTAAATAGAAATTAAGCGGGAAAATAGTACAAGTTTTAGTAAAGGTGTGAGTGTTGCATGTGTTTGTATGAGTATTTGCGGCTGCGCTGAGTTGGCGCTAAACAGCGCGGCTTGAGCGCTCTGTTGCCGTTTCGTATGATTTGTTTCATAGTATTTTAGTTTCTAAATGGAAGACAAATATTAAACCCAGTTTTTAGTTGAATCTAATTTATTGGTTGTTATTGTAAGCAATTTTAGTTTAATTTCGGTTAATTGTATATGTTACATATATAGATAAGATTTAAGCCAAAATCAAGTATCAATATTTATAACAAGCAGAAATATGTGTGAGTTTATGTAGGAAAGTGATGAGAGAAGTTATTATAGGAAAGCGGTAATAGAGGGTTTTACACAGCCATACGCTACCCACATCAGGACCAACTATCAAAATAAAAATAAAAGCCATTTACAAACATCTGAGAATGAAGCTAAGTTAAAAAAAAAATATTTTTTTTTTTTTTGGGTAATCAATCTTCAAAAACTCTGCTAAGATATTAAGCGCTCAAGGCGCAAATATTTTAGTTAGCTCGTTTTCAAAAATGTCCAATATGCACCCTTCAAAACATTCATTATTATATGTATCTCTTTTTTATTAATAAAAGTAAAGTAAAATAGTAAAGAGTACCAGAAAAAACTTCGAATTTATTACAAGCAAATTTTTTTAACCGCTTGTGAATAACTTTAATTAGAAAGAAAAATTCTAAATCACAGACTTCAATATTTTGTATGCTTAAAGCATAATTAAACAACTTCGTAAATTCCATTATTGATAATAATTAAAAAAAAGTTAACTTTTAGCCACGACTTTAAAATTAATGCCTAAAATATACAGTGAATACCCTTAACCGGCTTAGAAAACAAATAATAAAAAGGGATAAAAAAAATAGCTTCAACAGCGCATTTATTGAAAAAGAAAATCTCGAAAATATAACAATATACTCACATGTAAAAATAGCATATAATAAAAATATAAAAATAAATTGAATACAACACAAAATGCAACAAAGAGACTGCTATTTAATTAAATTATTAATAAATATTGCTAAATAGCACCAGTAAGTAAAAAAAATAAAAAATTAAATAAAAAAATAAAAATATGCAAAAAATTCTTATATAGATATGAAAATACAAAAAAAAATATATATACTTGTTTTACATAACATTATGTTCTTGCTAAAGTGTACACACAACAACTTTTTTTGCTAAGGAAAAATATATATGAAATAATTTATTAACCGAACAATTGAAGCTCAATTATTAAGCTACCTCAATAGAACGATAAATATTTACCATTAAATTTTTAAATACAAAACGAAAAAATTACGTAAAACCTAAAAAGGAAAAATATGTGCAGAAAATATAAAAAAAGTAATAACAGCAAAAAACTAAAAATAATTTCAAAATAATTGTATATACATTAAGTAAACAAATCTACTGGCCAGTCGTACTTAGCAAATATTTATATCACTTTTACTGATAAAAAATCTTTACTTCTTCCATCCATTTTGTTTTATATTAAATAATATATATATATATTTAAACAATAAACCGTTGATATTAGCATGTTTATTTTGTACCTGGAAACTACTTAAATTATTACAATATTAAAATAAAGCCAACCATACATCCACATATATAATATAAGTTAAAAAAATAAATAAAAAAATAATAAAAAAATAAATAAAAATAATATTACATTCCTGCCCTTAGAATAAATTATTATAATATTTTTATTTATTACAACATAAACTATTTTAACATTTAAGCTTTTATTTATTTTTTTATTTTCAGAAATTTAAATCTTCAAATACATTCAAATCATATTTCACTAACTCGAATAAATACACAATTGTAAATATTAGCACGATGTACATTAGTTTTTAGTTAATTGTATTTATAGTATGCGCATTGTACATAAAGATAACAATTTAATTTAATTGAAATATTATAATAAAATACATATTTACATATCCAAGTATTATTTAGTTGTATTAATTAAGTTAAATGTTAAAGCATCAAATTGAATCGTTGAGTGGAAATTTTATTGGAAAAATGCATTTAAAAGAGAAAATAAATTAAAAATTAATAACAAACATATCAAGTTTTTTTTTTAAGTCTGCTGTTGGTAAGTATATTGGAGAAAAAATTGCCTGAAAATTTCCTCAAAATTTAAGGTAGTTGGGATATCGACAAACTTCTTACACAGGAAACCTGCGCTTTTTTAGTTTTTAACCTCTAATGACCTATTAAAACATATGTGGATTACACCAATTATTTTTTATTATTTTATGTAATTACACTTTATATTATTTTATTTTACTTTAACTTACAATATATATACCTCATCCAATTTATTTTATTTTATTTCATTTAATTTCAACTCAAAATGAATTTGTGGGCATCCCAAGCTGGAGTCCAATTCGAACAAATGTGCCTGGAAATTTAAGTCTGCTGAAAAAAGGTGGGGGTTTCCGAAATGGCAGCTATAACTTATACCGTCCAAAACAGTTGCTGTAATTTTTCAACTATTTCCCAAACAAGTGAGGTCTGAAACAGTTTCCTAAAACCAAAACCCGAAAAAAACTTAATTTTATTTGGTTTCCTAATTATTCATATCCCTTTTTATTTTAGTTTATTTTATTTTATGTTTTCTTATTTCACTTAAACTTATTTTATTTTAATTTACTTTATTTTATTTTATTCATTCATTTTATTGTTCTTCAATCTTAATTCATTTATTTATTTTTTTATTTATTTATTTTATTTTATTTTATTTTATTTTATTTTATTTTATTTTATTTTATTTTATTTTATTTTATTTTATTTTATTTTATTTTATTTTATTTTATTTTATTTTATTTTATTTTATTTTATTTTATTTTATTTTATTTTATTTTATTTTCTTTTATTTTATTTTATTTTATTTTCTTTTATTTTATTTCATTTCATTTTATTTTATTTTACTGTTTTGTTATTTGTATTTTTGTTTAATTTATTTAATTTTTTGTATTGCAGTGAGTGTTCCCAGAATTTCATCAGCTGTTTTCCCCTATTAAATTATTGAGCTCAAATGCAGTTTGAGGCGTATAACATTTTCCGCGTAAATTTAAAATTTAGAAATTACAGGTTCCACGTATTAATTGAAAATATAGGGTGACGACAGAAAGTTCTCTGCTACTTTAAAACTTTGATGAGCCAAAACACAAGCTCCTTAAAAATAATGATAATAAAATATAAATCCAAAAGTTTTCATGATAAAGTCCGAACGGTTATTGTCTGTTTGAAGAAAGAGAAAATGAAATAAACAAGAATTGAAACTTAAGTGTGCTCTTCTTCTTGCCTGTCGATAGTAAAAAACTTTTCAAAAAAATTGACTTTTACCCTTGTGACTACTCCGTTTTAATACTGGAGCAAATAATACTCACTGCAGAGCTAAGTAGACAAGGTATAATCTTCTAAATATAAGAGCGGTCAAGCAGTGTCGTCATTGCGTCTGTTCTTTCATAAAATATTTTCATATTTTCCCAAGGCTCCAAAACATCAGCCTGTATTTTAAGATTCTTATTAAAACTTGTGCATATCTAAGCTTAATTCGAGCGCATCGGTTTTATCTATTTAAAGTGCTCGCTTTCACCGACATCACAATCAGTTCGACAATAATTTCAAGTTCAGCGTTGCGAACGTAACAACCGCAATGTATCTAAGCTTTTTGTTAATCATTTGCTATACTCTGCCGTCTTTGCTGCGTGGTAAGCTCCTTTAAATACAAATAAATTCAATCCAATTGATTTTATAAATATAATCTTCCACAGCTTGTCCCATCTACCTGACAATATCGCTTGACGGGGAAACAGTGAAGGACTCACATATCGAAGTTAATTGGGGTCCCGAATGTCACGAGCATCCCGAATGGATTGGCATATTTAAAGAAGATCCTTCGATCACTTATATGTTACCAGAGGCACGTATTACGAATATATCCAACTCGTCCGGTAAGGTAGTGAGTGATGTGAAAATTGGTGAAATTAAATTTCCGCAAGGTTGGAATAATTATGATGAAACTATTGTACCCATTGAGTATCCGAAAGGCAAGTGTTTGCCCTATTATGTGGCAAGTTTCAATGGTACCGAGCTGTTGACGGTGGAGTGCTTGAAAATACAACCGAATTGGATGTCGAATTCGGAGCATTTAGCGCAAATGCCATTGAAGGAACTCTTCATACCAGGTACGTTTGGGAAGATTGAAATGTGTCGGGACCTTAAATTTCTTCGTTTCTCGTTTACACTTTGCTTAAGGTACGCATGCTTCTGCAGCTTATGCCGCTAATTTGACAAAATCGGTGGAGATCGATGATTATATAATCACTCAACAATTCGATGTCTGGTCTCAACTAGTCTTTGGCATACGATATTTGGATTTTAGAATCGAGTGAGTTAAAAACACGAACTGGGTGAGAGTCAGAAACATAAATTACGAGATTTTCTTCTTTTTTATATTGTTTAGATATAACGAATGCGGCGATGTCAACGACTCAAATAATATGGATAATTTCTATATTGTCAACGAAGAAAAGCTTATGCGCCCGCTGAGGAGTGTCTTGAAAGATATAAAGCGATTCGTACAACTTTCTCACGAGGTCGTCATATTGGAGTTTGTTCCTATCGGTAGGTCTTTGAGTATTCATAAAAAACGCTTTGTATTTTAAGAAGTCAGTTGACGACGATCGGTTTGCTACCCGTCCATACAGCAGACTTGCCGCTGTGGCGACACCTAAAACAAGGAAGTGATTGCTATAAGAAAAAAAAGAAATTAATTACATAAATTTGTAGTGACGAAGGCAGTCATATAGACTATCTAACTTTAACAAACGCTTTAAATTTAAACTCATATAAAGGGAATCAAGCTTTTTTTTGGCGTCTCAAAAGTGAAGCAGAAAAAACAATATCAATCCATCTTCGGGCACGGCAGTTCAGCTTAACTCAACCGAATACCTGGCACACGGAAGCATCGGCCCACAGTGTAGTCCCATGTGCAAAGCGTCTTGTGCTCGAGTCCTGATCACATCAACATCCTAAACTATAGGAGAGATCAACACCTCCTTATAAAAACGGCACAAATTGGATTAGCTTTCGCGAAATATGCTTCCGCCGTTATATTTAGTATTTATGTATTACAATATATATTTTAAGATCCTCTCTGCACTCCACTAATTCCACTTTAAGAAAATAATAAATTTCAAAATCCTCTTTTCACAGGATTTTCCGACCATCCCGAACGTCATAGCAGTCTGAACCATCTGCTACGCGAAGAAGTCGGTGATATTGTTTATATTCGAAACACGAGCACCCAAGAAGGTTCTAAGCCGTGCTATGAACTCACAATAGGAGAAATTCGTAAGGATAACAAAAATCTAATCATATTATACCCAATACATAAATTACCCGAGAGTGGTGAGTAATGTTTGTTTGATTTTTGTTATATAAACAGATTTTACAACATTTTTTTTTTATTTATAGAGTCGAAAATGCTCTGCCCCAGATGGACACTTTACTCAACGATTTTTTCGAGGACATCAGACTCGTTGTACCATATGCGTAAGTTCTTTAGCAAAAAACACAATGAGGGTTGGATCTATCAAGGTAGACGCAGCAGGAAACCGTCATTGGTGGGTGCATCCTTACAATTATTTTAAGTAATTCAAATGATATTAAAGATTCGTTTTCTTTCAGACAGCCAAAGAGCACGCCGCCGCATTGAATCCCCAAGTTACCAGTTGGCTTATGAGTCATGGCAGTTCGGACGCTAATGTCGTTGCTTTCGTTTATTTCAGCAACACCAACCTTATCGATTTGGCCATTAATACAAATATGCAGAAAGCTCTCAAAATGGCTAATAAGAATTTTGTAAATTTCGAAATTGTTAGTCTTCGAAATAGCAAAAACAACACATATTAGTTCGCGCTCAAATGCACTAACAATTTGATAATTTAGTTTAATATATACATACATATTTAATGAGAAACTAAAAACAGCAAAATAAAATTATATACTGCAAGCAGAATCTTTCTTAATTTCGATTTTTGACCTCGAAATTCTATTGATGATTGCCGATTTCAACCCCGGCGGTAATGAAGATTCATTAATGTCCGATAGTAGCACTGACAGCCTTGAAAATTCTTTGAAAAAAAAGACAATTCACGCGCAGGGTCGGTTTTGGTTGAGACCAATGAATATCGATATCGGCATTAAGTGCAGATGTGATGCTGGGCACTTAGCGGAAACCATGCTGATGTGCCGCTCGACTCAGATGTTGTGTGAAAGTCGGAACAGGAAAAGGACTTTGATGGCTGGTTGACCCGGTTTCCCAAATGTTGAGTATTTTTAGGGCCATCGGGGCGGGTGGATGTGGAAGCCTTCGCCTTCCCAATGACATGAACCTTTTCCCTGAAGAAATCAAGCAGTTTGCGCAGACGGCTTGCTTCGTTTTATCAACCGAAGGGTGCAGTGTCGCGCGGCAACGGTCACGATAATCCTCCGGTGACGTCAGGTGGAATGGGGAGAGCATTGACAGCGTTCGCAGAAAATTTCGTGAATTCGAGCCAATTAACATTTTTAAAGTTTACGAATGTCTGGTGGTGGTGGTACATGGAAGCAAAGTTGGGAGGCCTGTCAATCGAGATTAATATCGGTAGGTGGTCCAATGTCAATGTGAGCCCAGGTCGCCAGGATATGCTGTTTAGCAGACTGGCGGTCTTTGACAATTATCCATAACTCTGGTGGGGGGTTGTCGTTCATGGTGCATTATATCGGATCGTCTGTCTGTTCTGCCAGCTCCATTCCTCTACGGTTATGTGGCAGGCTAGAATGCCAAGGATCGCGATGCGCGTTAAGGTGGCCCAAAACCAAACGATTTATATATTACATATTTCGAGCTCGACATCGCCTGACTCTACAGCTATGTCCTGACATTTTAGGGTAGTATCCCTGCGGTCGATGTCGCTATCGATAAGATGAAACTTCACGGTGTTGCGTAAGATGAAAGCTATATCACTAATATTTACTCGATCGCGATTCCGCTCATGATGATGTGCTCAACCCATAAATTCGACTATCTCGTTGTAACAGATCAAGAGTTGCATCTGACTGATGTCATGTTCCGACGTACTATGGCCCGACACACGGAAAAGACTCTATTGGAAAATAGGAGCTGCAAGGTAGCCCGCAATTAGGAGAAGAAATGGGAATGATGTAGGTAGGGGTAGAGATTGGTAGGAATCATGCTGCGGGGAACTCCATGAGACCGTAGAGATCTGGCGATGGTTATGCTGGGTGATCTAACCGAAATGGTTAATCCGCCGGACCAGGGTTAGTTTCGACTCCAGCTCTGATGAGAATATTTATTCATATTCACAAGCTTTGAACATGCCATTTGCGAGGTGTTGCTCCGTTGATGCACTTAGAATAATTTTAACTGCTAACCAGAACGAGATTAGGTCACCGAAAGAGTGACAGCCGAGAGCCGAATAAAATCCGAGTCAACTCCGGTGCGTAGAACCGGCTATCATCAGAGTTCATTCCTTGGTTTTTTGAGTATTTCTTTAATGATATCTAACGGTGGAAATATTCATGAATAAAATTCTACAAAATACTCCCAAGCTCTAGGACAGATAGGAAATCGATTATCGCGCTAAACTTTTTCCGCAGGAAAGTATTTTTTATACTTGAACTACTTTTTTTAGTGTTAAGCCTGACCTGACTTATTTTGCCTTCCTTTCAGCACCTCCCATTAGGTAAAACAAAATAATTCTTTAACACTTTATTTAATTTTACTTTACTTGGTTTTATTTTAATTTTTTATTATATTTTTTTTTTCGTTTCATCCAACATCACTTTATCTATCTATAAATTGTTTTCTTATTTCATTTTACTGTAATTTATTTTATTTATTTTAATTTTTTTCTATTTAATTTTATTTTTTCTGTTTTCATTATATTTTATTTTCTGTATTTTATTTTTTAATTATTATTTTTTATATTTTCTTTTTTAATTTTCTTTTATTTATTTTACTTTAATTTATTTTATTTTATTTTAATTTATTCAAGTATTGATAAAAAGTAAAGAAATGCAATTTTATCTAAGCTTTTTAGTACATTGTGAATACCCTTAACCAGCATAAGAAAACAGAGACGCTTATTTTCTTAAAGTTAAAAAGAATAAAAAACAGTTCAGTAGCGTATTTATTAAAAAAAAAAAATTCGTGTTAAATTATTACAAAAAAATAGCACAAAATGCATTAAAGAGACAGCTATTTAATTAATATATTAATAGTTATCACTAAATATCCTCAGTAAGTTTAAGAAAAAAAATTTAAAAAATTTTAAAAAATAATATAATAATTAACTGTACACTTCTATTACATAACTACATAACATTGGGAGCCACAATAGCCGAGTGGTTAGCAGTGCGTACTACCATTCGGAAGGTCAGGTTTCGGGTCTTGTTCGACTTACATCAAAAATTATTTTTAAGCCCTACAAGTGTATTTCTGACACGAAAATCAAGTTTCTCGTGAAAATCCCTCGCCTGTTCAGAGGCAGCTTATGCTAAGCTTTCGGGAAATAGCTCTAAGATATTCGACACAATTTTTATTATTAAACTGTTATTTGCTCTTTAAAGTAATGTTAATTTGGGATTTAAAATTAAGAATTAAAAATAATTTATCAACAGTTCAATTGAAGTTCGATTACTAAGCTAACTCCATAGAACTTAAATGATTTATGAAGTTTTATGAAAAGAAGAAATAAATAAAAAATTTCAAATATAAATATATCATATAAAATTTTTTTTAATGGTGAGTATGTTGACGGGAAAATTCTTAAATTTTCACTCAAAATCTGGGGCAGTTGAAAAATCGATAGACATGCCCAACTTCGACTGCATTAAGACTGCGCTTTTTGAATTTTAAACCTAAGCTAACTCATATTTTATTACAAGTTTTTTTACGTTCTTTTAACCAAAAAAACTTAGACTTGGATAAAACTATATTTAAACACTAGCATATTTTTCTCCATATATACATATGTGCATATTTGAGATGATAAATCGCACAGATTTTAACAGTTGTTGTTCCTTATTAAATAACTCAGCACAAATAGAATTAGTGACGCTTTTGTGATTGCGTCAAATTTTTAAATGAATGAATGTCGCACAACATTTTCTACTCAAATTTATTAATAAGAAAAGACACGCTCAACGTCTTAATTGAAAATACAGGGTGATACTGAGAAAGATTTATATTATTTTCAAAATCGTATGTGACAAAATATGAGCTTTTGAAATTAAAAATATAAAATATAAAATTCGAAATATAAAATATTAATAATTGAATATATAAAATATAAAATATAAAATATAAAATATAAAATATAAAATATAAAATATAAAATATAAAATATAAAATATAAAATATAAAATATAAAATATAAAATATAAAATATAAAATATAAAATATAAAATATAAAATATAAAATATAAAATATAAAATAGAAAATTTAAAATATAAAATATAAAATAGAAAATGTGAAATATAAAACATAAAATATTTTAATAAAAAATATTAACATAAATGCTTTCAAGATGAAGTCCGAATGGTAATTATCTACATGAAGAACAGCGAAGAAGTGACAAACTCAGCCGTGCAAAATTAGATCTTCTAAATGAGTTTGGCTAACAATTGAAATACTGGCGTTATTAGGTCTGATTTTTCCAGACTATGGTCCGGTAGCTAACGAGGACTTCAGCGCATTCGCGAATTAATAAAAATAGCGAAATAAAAAATTTTTTATAGAAAGGCCCCAAAACATCAGCCTGTATTTCAAGATTCTTATACAAATGGCTGTATTTGTGCATACCTAAGCTTAACTCGCTACATTTTCACACTTAAGTGCATCAGTCTTATTTACTCAAGATGACCGCTTTCACCAACATCACAATCAATTCCAGATTAAGTTCAAGTTTAGCGTTGCGAACGTAACAACCGCAATGTATCTAAGCTTTTTGTTAATCATTTGCTATACTCTGCCGCCTTTGCTGCGTGGTAAGTTCCTTTAAATACAAATAAATACAATCCAATTGTTTTTAAAAATATTTCCACAGCTTGTCCCATCTACCTGACAATATCACTTGATGGTAAAACGTTGCAGGACTCACATATCGAAGTTAATTGGGGTCCCGAATGTCACGAATATCCCGAATGGATCGGCATATTTAATGAAGATCCTTCGACCGCTTATGTCCCACCCGAGGCACGTATTACGGATATAACTAACTCGTCTGGTAAGATAGTGAGTGATGTGAAAATTGGTAAGCTACGATTTCCACAAGGTTGGAATAATTATGATGAAAATGTCGTACCCATTGAGTATCCGAAAGGCAAGTGTTTGCCCTATTATGTGGCAAGTTTCAATGGTACCGAACTATTGACGGTGGAGTGCTTGAAAATACAACCGAATTGGATGTCGAAGTTGGATCATATAGCGCAAATGCCATTGAAGGAACTCTTTATACCAGGTACCTTTTGGAAGGTTGAAATGTGTCGAGACCTTAAACTTCTTCGTTTCTCTCTTTACACTCTGCTTAAGGTACGCATGCTTCTGCAGCGTATGTAGCTAATTTGACGAAAACCAAATCGGTACTGATCAAGGATTATGTAGTTGCCCAACAATTTGATGTCTGGTCTCAGTTAGTCTTTGGCATACGATATTTGGATTTCAGTATTGGGTGAGTTTATTCCATGAACTGGGTGAGAGTCAAAAACGGAAATTATGAGATTTTCTTATTGTGGTACTGTTTAGATATGACAAAATCGACGATGTCTACGACTCAAATAATGCGGATAATTTCTATATTGTCAATGAAAATAAACTTGTGCGCCCGCTGAGGAGTGTCTTGAAAGATATAAAGCGATTCGTACAACTTTCTCACGAGGTCGTCATATTGGACTTTAGCTCCTTTCCTATCGGTATGTTTTTGAGTATTCATAAGATAGGCTTTATATTTTCAGTATATCGTTGGCATCGAGCCATCTGCTACCTACCAGTACAACTTACTTGCGGTCAATAAGTCATGGCTGAAAAAAGGGTTACCAAAAAAAAAAAGATTCCCCGTAGTCAGCGGCTCCCTCAAGTATAAGTACATACTCGTATATATTTTAAACACCTTTTTTTACAGGATTTTACAAGCATCCCGAGCGCCATAGCGGTCTGAACCATCTGCTACGCGAAGAAGTCGGTGATATTGTGTATATTCGAAACACGAGCACTCAAGAAGGCTCTAAACAATGTGACGAACTCACAATAGAAGAAATACGTAAGGATAACAAATATCTAATCATATTATACCCAGTGCAGGAATTACCCTATCCGGAAAGTGGTGATTAACTTTTGTTTGCCTTTTCGAAAATAAATTCATATAATTCTGAGTTTTTATAGAGTCGAAAATGTTGTGCTCGAATTGGAAACGCTTCTCAACGGCTTTTATGAATACCTCAGAGGCGTTAGACAATATGCGTTTACTGTTTAGCAAGAAACAAAATTCACCAATACAAAATGAAGGTTGGGTTTTTCAAGCTATACGCAGCATGGAACAGTCATTGGTGGGTGCAACCTCATTTAGATATTTGTCACTCAAATGGTATTAAAGTTTTTAATATTTTCTAGAATAATAACAAGCTGGAGACAGCTAAAGAGCGTGCCGCCATATTGAATCCCAAAGTTACCAGTTGGCTGAAGGGTCCGTGGAGCTTAGCCGCGAATGTTGTGGCTTTCGATTATTTCAGCAATACCAACATTATCGATGTGGCCATTTATGCTAATATGCATAAAGCTTTCAATATGGCTAATAAGAATTTTGTAAATTTCGAAATTGTTAGTGTTTGAATTTGAAAACCAACACATAGTAATTGACGCTCAAACGCTGTGGCCCGAACAATTTGAGACTATCATAGGGTGTCCAAAAGTTAATGCAATTTCGTTGATAACCAAAGATTTAGCTGTTATATTATGTATATACATACATACATATTTAATAAGAATCTAAATACAATAAAATAAAACTTTGTTCTTTCAGATGGATCTTTTCGATTTTTGGTAAATTTTCAGTTAGTAGTAGCGAATTCGGAAAATGGCGAGTTTTCTGTGTCGTTCCGTGATATATCAGACTTCTGACTACAATTTCACATTCTTCCAACAAATGTATTGATGCGTCTCAGTCCATCGTAATCTTTAAAGAGACCTGTTAAAATTGTTTTTTTTTTTTTGTTGTCTTTTTCCTGTCCTAGTGGTCGCATATGTACTGCCCGCCTAATTATACCAATAAATTTTCCGTTTTCCTTCTTATCATAACCTTTTTTATCATATAATATTCAATGTAAAGACAGGGTTCGAACTCTGTTGGCCTGATTTGAGTTACTTGTCTTGCCAATTCGTCTGTTAGTTGATTTCCCTGTATGGCTGTGTTCTGGACTGAGCTTCGTTATATTTGCTTAAATAAATTAGGTGCTTTTCTCATTCCCATTTTGGTATTTTATTGCGAATGATATGATTTCCTGGAGTATGAATTCGCTACACATATTTGTATGTGTAAATTCTTAATATTTTTCTGCGTGCTTAGCTCTACTTTGAAAATACTGTAATCCCCTGAAAATGATATTTTTTCTGATTTTGGTACTTTTTATTCCAACAAACCTTTTGCATATCATTAACAACCGCGTTTTCTTACCTATCTTATATCCCATGAACTTTCCATCAAACATGGCTTTATCGTGTTCAGTTCAGTTCCAAGTACATAACAGAGATGACAGCTCGGGCACCGGTTTTCAGTTGGAACTAATTTTTTTCGATGCTTAAAAACCGAGTAATTAACATGGGTTCGAGTCATGGTCAGACCATTAATCAAATCCAGCTTCGGGGACAGGGGACGTCAAACACTCTGAGTTTATTTCTGACATGAAATAAAATTTCCTAATAAAAAATCCATCATCTAAACGGATGTCCTTCAACAAATAGTTTTTCTTTGTTGGAAAAACATCAAGTTGTACAACACAATTTTGAGAATAAGATCGACCGAAATGCTATTCAAAATAACAGCTCTTATTGGTAAACCTTTTATTTTTATTTTCTAGAGAAGTCTTTAGTTTCCCTTGCATTGGCTTTATATACTGATTAAAAGAAATTTAAAAACTGTCAAACTTCAACTTTGTAGCTCGTGACGATCGCAGATTAACTGGTGGAGAAGTCGACGGTGCGGTTGGAGGCAAACTACTTCGAGGAAGGCCTAGAAAAATTGATAGCCTGTTTTAGCATCTGCATGTTGTTGTTGTTGGTATAACCGCAAAAATATTCTTTTGGGGGGTATTACGGGAGTGACAGTCCTTGGCCGGATAAAAATACGGGTCGTTCCGGTATAAAGACCCGACTGTAGCGGGAACTATTGGATTTTAGTCGCCTCTTACGACAGGCATGCCTTATCGCGGGTAAATTCATGAAGCCCTAACCCATAGGGTTAATCACCTGCATATAGAGTAATCGCGACTATGTTGAAAAATGAAGCTATTTCGGTCGATCTTATTCTCAAAATTGTGTTGGCTATTCCGGTAGACGGCGCTTTTGAAACTGTAATAAAAATGGAACGATACACGCCTCAACAACGCACTGAAACCATTAAAATTCACTATAAATATATCATCAAAAAATCATTTTAATTGATGGTGCTCACTTCCACCTCGATGGCTACGTTAAAATGCAAAACTGCCGCATCTGAGGATCAAAAAACCCAAAATTTATTGTTGAAAAGCGTCTTCATCCTGAATGTGTAACTGTTTGGTGCGATATATGGTTCGGCGGGTCATTGGACCTAACATTTTCGAAAATCAATGGGTTGAACTCCCCAGAGATGATTAATGCTATTCTTACGACCGGAATTGGATGGTATCGATCTGGACAACGTTTACTTTCAATAAGACGGCGCTACATGACACAAAAGCACTGAAACCATCGATTTTTTAAGGGAAAAGTTTCCAAACCGATTTATGTCTCAAAGCCACTGATCGCATTTGGCCACCGATATCTTGTGATTTAACACCTTGCGACTTCTTACATTGGGGCTACGACAAAGATATGGACTACGCCAATTGATCAACGTCACCTTAAGACCTCCAAGATGGAATGCGTAAAGCTATTGAGGACATACAGCAGCCAATTTGCGATTTTGTGATGGAAAACTTCCTAAAACAGATGCGGTCCTGTAAGGCTGATATTGTGTTCCATTATTAATGGCATTTCTTTCTCTTTGCATTGAAATAAACATCCGAAATAAGCCCGGTATAAGTTTAAAGTAAAAATAAAATAAAATAACCAAGTTAAAAAATACAAAATTTAGTTCGGGCGGATTTTTTTAAATTTTCCAAAATTCTGCCGCGTTGAATTTTGTAATCAACGGCACTGGACTGGACACTGGAGAGTGTGCCTCCAATTTCTTTTCAAGCAATTTTTTAATAAGGAATAAAACCGCTGAAGGGATTTTCAGCCGCCTCGTATGAATATTTGTATGTCAAAAATACATTCAGAGGGTTTGACTGCCGAAGGGCGACCAGAATTAGGATAATCTTATGACTTGAACCCTGGCTTATAGAATGTTTGGAAGCAATGCTAATCTCACAACTAGTGCGACCACCGAATAAGGAATACTTATTTGAAATATATTTTAATTTTAATTATTTTATAGAAAGGGAGTACTCAGTTTCGTTAAAATTGTAAAACTTATTTAATGTAAAAATCTTAATTACAAAGTAAATTATATTATATGCATGTGAAAACTATTGTTTTTTTAGCTTTTCCATTTTATAACTGGATATTTAAAAACCCGCCCATTTAAGTAGAAGTTTTCATCATCGTTATGAAAACACATAAATCGAAAATTTTTAATTTTTTTAATAATAATTGTGACTAATTACAGTTAGTTAATGAATTCAATAAAAGACAGTAAGCAGTATATATTTATTTAGTAGCCACCTAAATGTAATATATACATACATACATATAAATTATTTTATCATATTAACATACATTTGCATACAAAACTTGTGCAGTTCTATAAACTTCTCAGTCAATTTGTATCAAAAGCATATTATCTTCATGAACTAAAAAAAATGAAATCTGAATAAAAAAATCTGGTTATTTTAACCAGCTAAAATCATATACAGACAGGCATATGTAAGTACAATGTAACAACAATTTTTTTTTTAATAAAAAAAATCTCATAAATTAAAAATAAATTTCTTATTATGCCGGCCATAAGTATAAAGGCGTAAATTTCAAAAGAAATTCAACAACATTTACAACAGTGTTATTCGCACGCGCAAGCAGTAAACATGAAATTTATTTATATCACCACAGTATTTTTATTGCTACTCTTAACCACATTCGTAGCCGCACAAGATTCCTCTTGCGCTGGAAGACCACGTAAATGCTTTTCAACAAATTTCATATAATTCAATTTAAAAAAACAATTTATATAAATATTTTTCATATTTATTTATATTTAAAAATTTTTGTTCTCATTACCACAGCAAATCAACTATGCCTCAAACCAATGAATGTCGGCACAAGAGGTCGTGGCTGCCGACCGAGTCAAATGTGGTATTTCAATGAGCGAGCACAAAGATGCGAACGTCTCAATTATCTCGGCTGTGGGGGCAATGAGAATCGGTTTTGCACTCTAGCTGGTTGCCAGAATTCATGCATTTAATTAAAATGGTTTGCACTTAATTTTTTGCTCATTTTTAATTGTATAATAAATTTATTAAAAAAAAATACGAGCGTTCGTTTGTATGACAATAATTTGTGGGTGGCACTTTTTTAAACAAAAATAACGACAATTCGCTTCTTCTGTATAAAAGATAAAATAAATACAATAAGTTAATGATGAAAATAACAACAAATAAATTATACCTTCATTGTGTTGGTTTAACTTAACGAAGATTTTTTTTTTAATAAATACATACTTATACATACATATATAAAGAAAATTCAGTCAGCCAAATAATTTAAATCTCTGCAATCGGTCGCATTTTTGATTTGATAATAATAAACTATTTATGTTTGTTTATAAATAAATCTGTAAAAAGGTATTTATTATTGTAGTACTCCTCTTTTAAATAATATACATATATATTTCAATTATAAAAAATTAAAACGAAATGTTTCTATTGGGAATATTCATAAATGACAATAAAAATTTCCTTTTTTTGTATAAAAAAAACTAAAAATATTTACAAATATGTTCAAATATAGTACACTTCTTTAGATTAAGAATTAACGTTATGTTGATTTCTTAGCCAATGCTTGTTAGTTAAGAGGGATTTTCTTTTAATGGTGTTCAAAAGTTATTTCTCAAGGAGCTCATTATATATATATATAATATATGTATATATAAAATGGGCGCTTTGCAATCGCCGAAACGATTTTCGGTCAAGCTTCTCCTCCAATTTTTTTTTTCCAACAAAATGGGGAGACCTGAAAGGTGTTTTAACCCACCTCGGCTAGAAATCTTTATGAGAAACTTTTTATTTTATGTCAGAAATCCACTCGGACCAGGATTCGAGCCCTTAGCTTCCGAATTTTCTAAAACTTAAAAATAATAATAATATGATGAGACAACATACGTCTTCTTCTTCTTAATTGGCTTTCGTTGAACTAGGTCAATGTTATCTCGTAACCTCGTCGTTGCATCGACTGCGGTATTTCTCGCTCGCAAAACTTTTTTGTTGAAGACCCCGAAAGTCGATTCATCAGAACTAATTATCGTCCATGCTTCTGCAGCATATAGCAGGACGGGAACGATGAGGCGCAGGTTTGATAAGTCTAAGTCGTCAAGGTCATCTAGTGGGAGGTCCAGCAAACGAGCTGTTTCGATGGGTTTGGACCAAAAGGAGAGGAGGGTTAGATGAGTTGGTTTGAGGGGGCATGTGAAGAGGTGGTTAGTGTCGTGCGGAGACTATCCACATGCAGGGCATACGTTGGGTATGCTGGGGTCTAGTCTGGATAAGTAGGAGTTTAACCTGCTACAATATCCAGAATAGTTGGTGTTAATGCTGGTCTCTAGATAGACGAACCGATTTACGATCTCGAAATTATGACTGTCAACAGTGAAATGAGAGCCGAGTCGCTAGTGCGATGACTGTTGAATGACAGGAGATATTTTGTCTTGTCCCTGTTCACCACCAGACCGGTGAATGTTAAGGCCACAATGCCTATTTAACTATGCCATTTTTGTTATATTCTCCAGCAATAAATTGAAAAGATTACACGGAAAAAGAGGGGCACGGTCTGTAAACTCGTTTGACATCGAACGGAATGGTGAGGTCCCATTCAATTCTGACTGTGCTTCCCAGTGTTGTCCAGCGTCAGTTCACACAGCCGTATAAGTTTTGCGGGGATATCAAATTCAGACATAACGGCGTAGAGTGAGTTCTTTACTGTGATTTGAAATCGATGAAAATTGGATTTTTTTCTCAAGGATTCTTATCCCACGGTGATTGGCGCAAACCAAACGAACCGGTCATACTGTTGTATTGAGATCTATTGCATATGGTTTATTTAATTATCCCCGTTCCTCAAGCTGGTAATAAATAAAAGCATTAATAATTTTGTTTATTAATGTTTGTATATATATACATATATACTCACAAAATAGTAAAATCGAACATACATCTGCCTATATGTATGTGTGTTCTTATAAGCCTCGTCATATGGTATAAGAGTCTCCGAAGTGTTAAAAATATCCTTTCTTTAAAACGCATATGGTGTTTATAGCGTCAAATATAACTTAATTCCATTCAAATGGCAAAACGTATAATACATATGGTGTGTGGGATGTGTATGCACATACTAGTATATACCTATGTATTGTATATATGTATACATACCAAGTGCACATACAATTTGCATTTTGATTTGTTTATTTTTAATATATTCCGATCGTAGTTTGTTTTGACGCCAAGAACGCTGAAAGCACAAAATCTGCTCAGTCAGTGATTCATCAGAAAAACTCGTATAATTTGAATATTGTTGTTGATATTGTATTCCGTAAACGGTAATTGCACTTGCCTTAAATGTTTGCTTGCTTTAAATAAAGAGTAAAAAAATATTATTTTCGCAACAAAACATACCTGAATACATACTTACCTATGTATTTCATTTCATTTGAGTGCATATATATGTATGTTATATGCTTAAGCTCTCAACAATTTAGACATACACATGTGTGTCTTGGCAAACAACTTGCCGTATCAAGAGTTATTAATATAAAGGTGACCGGTGTGGCTATCAAAAAAAGGTATTAATAATAATTTATTATTTAATGCTAAACGAATTTAGTAATATAGTAAAATTAATAAATCAAAACTCACCATTTTCTTTTAATTATTGCTGACTGCTGCATTAACATCGCACTCATGAAATCAATGTTAGGAGTTTGCTTTTAGTCCTTTATTCCAAATGAGACTTTAGAAATTTTTATTATAATTTTTATTTATTTATTTCTTGTTTTTATTATATTTTTTTCTTTATTTTATTTAATTTTTATTTTATTTTATTTTATTTTTTCATTATTTTATTAATTACATTTTTTCATTTTATTTTATTTTACTTCATTTTATTTTAATTTAATTTTTTCATTGTATTTTATTTTATTTCATTTTATTTTATTTTACTTTCATTCATTTTAATTTGTTTTACTTTACTTTATCTTATTTTATTTTTATGCTATTTTATTCTAATTTATTTAATTATTTCATTACATTTTATTTTATCTTATTTGATTTTATTTTATTTTATTTTATTTTATTTTATTTTATTTTATTTTATTTTTTTTATTTTATTTTTTTTTTAATTTCTTTTATTTAATTTTATTTTATTTTTTTTATTTTTTTTTTTTTAATTTCTTTTATTTAATTTTATTTTGATTTTATTTTATTTCTTTTTATTGTTATCTAATTTTATTTTATTTTATGTTACTTTATTTTATTTCATTTTACTTAATTATATTTAATTTTATCTGAAAATTTTTTATTTTATCTCAAATTATTTTAATTTTTGTTATTTTATTTGGAATAATTTTTTTATTAATTTTATCTCATTTTTATTTTACTTTTTCAATTTATTTAATTTATTTTACTTGTTTTATTTTATTTTATTTTTTTCATTTTAATTTATTTTTAAATTTCATTTTATTTTATTTTAACTTTTTAATTTAATTTTTTAATTTATGTTACTTTATTTGAATTATTATGTTTTATTTATTTCATTTTATTTGAATTTAACTTTTTGATTTTATTTAATTTTTTTTTATTCTTTTTATTTTATTTTACCTTTTTTTAGTTTATTACATGATAGTTTATTTTATTTATATTAATTTATTATGTAATATTGTATAATATTTTTTTGTATTTAATTTTACATATTTATTTTATTGTCGTTTAGTTTATTTTCTTGTCTAATATTTTTTGATCCAATAGAAAAACTCACAGACGCCACCAGTGCAGTCACGTTCATTTATTTGATACTACCTACAGTATGGCAGCCCACACAGTGCACTTATGACGCCCCTCTGTAACTAAAATACAAAAACAAAATTTAATTATTATTTAATTTCAGTGACTGACAACCTTCATTGAGCTATTTCCGTATATGGCGACAACAGCTAAAAAATAAAAAATAAAAACATTTTCAGCGTCAAACCAAACAATATTTTCTTGTTCTTATTGTATGTCTTACAGCAACAACAAGCCAATTATTTGTAAATTTATGCGACATTTTTTTATCTCCTTTTGCCAGCATCCAAGAAATAAATACTCGTATATAACAAAGCTTCTGACGCATAGCGTTCTTCAAAGAAAACCTACACATACACACACATGCCTACATATGTATTACATACCGGCAACAAGTTTGCCTCTTAACAACATACGTGTAGGAATGGAACAAAGCTTGGCTTTTGCTTGAGTGTACTATTGAGATTGCATTGCGTTGAACATCTTATATACATATATGTACATAAGTGCAGACATATGTACGTACATATATATTCAGATGTATATATTTGAGTGCGCTAAACAATTGCAATAGAATGGTACTTTTTGTGTGGGCGGTCGTTAGTTCGTGAATCTTTGTGCCAGACACGGAAAATATGATTAGGCAAACGCAAATATATGTACATAAATGTGTGTGTGTATGTGTACAAATATATGGTTTCCGCGCGGTTCTCTGCAACTAAAACGATAGTTAATACAACAAAATGTACATAGATTATATTACTCCTCGTATGCTCGCGAAGTGATCTTTATGACCAGATCTCACCTTTGCGCTTTGCACTCATCTTAGAAATAGCCAATATCTAATCAGTGCAGTATTTAATCAGTACAACGATGAAAAAAACCACTCCACATTGTGAGTACTAAGCGCACTTATGTACGTGTATATATATATATATCTATATACATATATGGCACTTTGTAATCGATTAAACGATTTTCGGCCGAGCTCCTCCTCCAATTTCTGGTTTGCGTCTTGCTGTTGTTTCAACAAATGGAGATTACCTACAGTTTATACTAAGCCGCCTCTGAACGGCTGATGCTTTTTTTATGAGAAGCTTTTTATTTTCATGTCACAAATACAACACGCTGCCGTGCGGCGATCGCAATCAGAATATATAACTTTATTTAACTTAAATTTGTATTTAAATTAATTTTCTATAACTTTTGGATGTTGGTCATAGCAGGATTCAAACCCGAGCCTTCAGAATGACAGTACGCAATCCTAACCACTCGGTAACCACGGCCGCCAAATACATACTTACATTTATAATCATTTCTACGCCATTTCCAAGTGAGTTTTTTGTTTATAAAAATCCACTGTAAAAGTTTATTTAATTTCTCCCACACCATTGGCTTCAGTATATATGCACATGTATTTATGTATATATACACAAAATGAAAATGCGCACTTCGATTGCATTCCATGGAATTAAAAGAGTGATTTTTTGTTTGTTATGAATTTTTATTTTATCTACATATATACTTATTTCTAAAATATGTTTTTTTGTTTGTTACCAAGCGATATACATACATATCTTATTAAATGCTTTACCAAATTCTTTAATTTTTAGCTCATTTTAGAGGGCGCAACTGTTCAAACAAGTGAAATTATTAAAATTGGAATTTTTCGTTAAATATTTTATTTTTAATTAATACCAAAAAATGTTTGGAGCGAATACTTCGCAGGTGTAAGCTAGTATAAATAATTAAGAATAATTACTTACATTAATATTTGTTTTGTTTGGTTTTCGGCCAGTTGTAGCACAGCATTTCATTGTTAATTATAAATTTGTCCGTCTGTTCACCACAACTGGCCGAACTTCCGCAATTTGTTAACATTATTATTTACAAAGCAGGTTAGTCTATTATAGTAATTTAATAAATAGTGCTTAAAGGTGATCAAGGAAAAAAAACACGCATCACATTTGTAAAGGGTTTCCGGCAAACCGGGCACTTCGAGACCGAAGACGCGCATTTGGCGCAGGCCACCACATGGCCGCATGGTAAAAACGCCGTATTGTACTCATCGGCATAGCAGATCTTGCAAAGCTTCTCCTCGGCAATTGTTGCTGCAACTGTGGTCTTCAAATCAGTAGCAGCCGTAGTAGCAGCAGTAGCAGCAGTAGCAGCAGCAGCAGCAGCAGCAACAGATGTCGCTTGCGTTTTTGTCCCCGTCGCAGACGATGAAGAGCAAGCAGCAGTTGCAATCATGGGCTGTACGATAATATTTTCGGATGATGGTGGTGGTGGACAATATTGAGCAGATTCAGCTTCAGTTGCTGATACTGAGTCAGCGCTTTTACTGTTATTCGCTTTATATTTAGCCGCAACACTATCAATATAACTCTGACCCTTCAACAGATTTAAATAGCGGCATTTTGGGAACCACATCGCATGTTGCTCCCACGGTTCATCATCATCATCCCAATCCTTGAGGCCACAACCGCAGCTAAAGCACTTGACACGATCACCAATACCGGTATAGAAGTAGCCAGCATCAGCCAGATCCTTGGGACGTTGTTTCATGTTGCGTGGCCAAGCTTCAAACGAACGTAAACGCGCCGCTTCAATGGCATACTCGGGATATTCGGGCCGATACAGTTGCATTTCATTGTTACATCTACTATTGTGTGGCAAATGATCATTCGATATGCTGTCAAAGTGGTAAGTTAACGCTGTTGTGTTCGCTGCTGATGCCGCTGTTGCCATTGTAGAACCATCATTTTGTGGCACAACATCTGCAGATTCATCATTTGCCTCTAAATCGAGTCCTTCATTACCGCAGACATCGTAACTGATCGGCGGCAAGACACGACTCAGTGTATCGCTACTAAGTGGCACATTATTGGTGGTGCGTCGTCTCAACAGTGGGCAATTTGGTGAAAATCTCAAATGTTCATTGATCGGTTGATCATCACGTTCCCAACGACCGATCTCAACTGCACAAAAATAACATTTGACTTTATCATCTTCGCCTGTATAGACTAGACCCGTTTGTGCCAATTCCTTCTTGTTCAACCATTGTAAAGGCCAATTTTCGAATGACTTCAAACGTTCATCTTCACGATGATATCTTTCATCCATAGTAAATTGTTCGCTTTTGCATTGGTGTAGGTACAATTCGTTCGTTTTATTATCCGTTACGTCGTAGCCGTGGGTATAAAAATACCGCCTATAGCAGCCCAAGGGTGTGCTGTTGTTGTATGTTGATGGTTTCTCTGCAATTGTTTCAGACATTTTGATGGCTTTCTTGTTGTCCTTTACGCTGCTGATAACTTCTTTGATTGTTTGATAAAAATAAAAATATATTCGACAAGCTATGTTGGCAATTGCGAGTGTAAGTCTGAAAGTAGAATGAAAAGGAAATGATAAGGGTTAGTCCATATATAAGAGAAATTTCATTGCAAAATTACGTGACTAATTATTTGTAAAATCTAGGAGATAAGATAAAGAGGCTATTGATCTTAATTTTACAATTCATTGTTGTTTCTTATTCAACAACACTAGGTCATTAGCTTGTTGTACAATAGTAAGGTTATTTTATATATCATTTTATGGATCAATTTTCAAACGGAGCATTGACACAGGCGGACACTGAGGAATTCATTTAAATGTATTTGTTATGTTCATATATGTATATATAAAAAACTACTTCATAGAGAGCACACTTGACTATTTCTGCGAACTCACTCACTTATAGTGTTAATAATCAAAAATTCCTACTTCAAAGATTAGATAATTACTGGCGCCATTGGTCTGGATATTTGCACAACAACAAAAAAATAAACAATTTCGTCATTCCTACTAAAATCAGGTACTGGAAAAATGCAATTTGTCTTTTTTTTTTTTGCAATAAACATTTACGAAAAGCAAAAACTCTTAGAACTTTCGAACTCTCATATAATCTCTCATACATTTGGAGAGCGTAAAAATATACCAAGTGGTTTTTATCAATATTGAAGTTAAATTCATTGCATTTAGTTATTGTTATAAATAACAAAAATAACAAAATCTGAAAGGCGTTTAGAAAGATCTGGTTCGTAACTAGTTATGTCTCGTCATTTTTTTTTTTTTTTTTTGTTGATTTTACTTATAACAATATTATATTTTTTAACAAGCCTGACTGATTTGTAGATTGGTTTAGTTTTATATAAAAATGCACTACATATCGCTTATATATGTATTTTCTATACATATACATATGTACATATGTCTGTAGGTTTCACTCGCATTTGTTATCTAAACAACCCCCGACCAAATTAAATAGCCACGTTATAGGACTTTCAAAATGTTGGTGACACGCGCAGACTAACTTTCAGATTATTTAAAATAATGACAAAATAATTTTTATTTTCTAATAATATTGATTTATTGATTCATTCTGTTTTTTTATTTTATTAATTAATTCTTTCATCTATGTTTTTATTGATATTACTAAACTATTTGTTTTAAATCAAATTTTTTAATCCAATTTTTAAATATAATTTTTAAATCCAAAAGCAATTTTTTATTTATAAAAATAATAGTTTTTGAAGCTGCTATAGCAGATCTTCAGGGACCCCTCCCGAAAAAGGCGTTTTGCGGTGACCTTTGTATTTATAAAGTGAATTATCTGAAATTAAAAAATTAAAGGGGTTTTGTTATGGTAATATTTAATCTAGTGATTAATCAAATTTTCAATCAATTTTTCTCCATATAATTGGTCTTGAATTATTTATTTTTATATTTTTTTTTTTATTTTTTTATACTTGTTTTATATTTTTTATATTTTTTTATATTTTTTTATATTTTTTTATATTTTTTTATATTTTTTTATATTTTTTTATATTTTTTTATATTTTTTTTTTATTTCTTTTTTAATTTTTTTAAATTTTTTTAAATTTTTTTATATTTTTTTATATTTTTTTATATTTTTTTATATTGTTTTATATTTGTTTTATATTTGTTTTATATTTTTTATATTTTGTTTTTATATTTTTTATATTTTGTTTTTATATTTTTTATATTTTGTTTTTATATTTTTTATATTTTGTTTTTATATTTTTTATATTTTGTTTTTATATTTTTTATATTTTGTTTTTATATTTTTTATATTTTGTTTTTATATTTTTTATATTTTGTTTTTATATTTTTTATATTTTGTTTTTATATTTTTTATATTTTGTTTTTATATTTTTTATATTTTGTTTTTATATTTTTTATATTTTGTTTTTATATTTTTTATATTTTGTTTTTATATTTTTTTATATTGTTTTATATTTTTTATATATTGTTTTATCTTTCTTATATATTTTTTTATTTATTTTTTTATTTTTATTTACTTTTGATATATATTTTTTATTTTTTAAACATTTCTTTTATTTTTTGTATATTTTTTATATTTTTTATATTTTTTTTTACTTTTTATATATTTTTTTTTTTAATTTTTTATTTTTTATATTTTTTTTATTTTTATATATTTTTTTTATTTTTATATATTTTTTTTATTTTTTATATATTTTTTTTATTTTTATATATTTTTTAAATTTTTTTTATTTTTTATATATTGTTTTAATTTTTTTTATTTTTTATATATTTTTTTAATTTTTTTTATTATTTTACTTTTTAAATTTTTTAAAATTTTTTTTACTTTTTAAATTTTTTTAAATTTTTTTTTTACTTTTTAAATTTTTTTAAATTTTTTTTACTTTTTAAATTTTTTAGTTTTTTTTACTTTTTATATTTTTTTATATTTTTTTTTACATTTTAAAGTTTTTTATATTTTTTTTTTACTTTTTAAATTTTTTTTATATTTTTTTTACTTTTTAAAGTTTTTTATATTTTTTTTTACTTTTTAAATTTTTTTTATATTTTTTTTACTTTTTAAATTTTTTAATTTATAAAATTTTTAAATTTTTTTAGTTTTTTTTACTCTATAATATTTTTAAAATTCCTTTTTTTCTTTTTAAATTTTTTAATATTTTCAATTAACAGAAAAACAATATTTTTAAACTCTCTTTTATATTTCTTAATTAATAAAAACAATATTTTATATATATTTCTCTCCAATTGTTTTGGTTTTTTATCTTCTTATACACATATTATATATTTTACTTCATTATTACGTTCTCAGCGTTTTAACTCCGTCTTCTTTTTTTTATAAAGCGAAATAATTCTACATATGAAACGCAAAAATTTGTTATAATGAGCAGCGTCCGAATAAAGCGTCGGTTTGAAAGCTTCGCGATCAACTGATTTTGCTCTTCAAAGTCACACATGATGAGCAATGTTAAATAAATGTTTATTAATGATAATCTAGCACATATGGGCATAAATATATACATACATACATATGTACATTCATGGGTATGAAACTTTTCATATGATTCTGAAATTTGTTTATAATATAATTATATTGAGAAAAAAGCTCTTAGTAAAGCATTTAAAGAGCTCAGCTTGTATGAGCAAATAGGTTTGGCTTCTCTGTAACTTTTTCGCTAAACTTTTTCTATATCTGTGTAAATAGTTGCAAATTTTCTGCATAACTACTGAAGGTACTCAAAAATTCTCAGAAAAAATTCAATTCATTTCCGTTTTATAGAGAAATATTATGACGTTTTCTCTTACATACATATGTGTGTATAAATAATTTTATCATAAACGCTTATCTTTCAACATTATTATTCATTGCAATCTTATATGAAATAATAAACACTTTTTTATATTTATTTATTTAATTTAATTTTCTTGTTTTCATTACCTTTATCAAGCACTTTTTCGTATGTATACGCGTAAAAATTCACGAAGTAATCATTCAACCATTGACGCTTTTCAGACGAAGGCAATTTTGAATAGACACAGCGCCATTTTTAAACTCCACTACCACATATCTTTTACACTTCAGGGCAGAGCAAAATCTAGCGAATATTAATATATGTGTACATATATTTTATACAAAATATACATATATGCTTGTGTATATTTCAAACTTTACGTTGCACGCAAAATAACACGAGATATCCTGACGAAGCCTGCCTGATGACTGAATCCTGGAAGTGATGAGCACAAACAACATAAAGCCAGCGCCAGCAAAGCATTCATAAACGAACGAGTAAAAGTGCTGCGCAGGAAATACTACTATTTATAGCTAGAAGGTAGTAATGCCCGATGATGACGATTAAGGGTGGAAGCCATAGGCATATGTGTCCTTAGCGCCAGTCAGCCAGCCAGTCAGCCAGCTGCAAAGGACATGCTCTCAGCGTCGCGGCGGCAGCGCTAACAGCAGCTGCAATAACCAAGTACTCAATATGCTCATCATTATAGTATAGTGCTGGCGAGCTGACTGGCTGGGAAGTTTTTAAGAAATTTGTATAAGCTTTGCTAGTTGTACGTAAAAAACGAACGTAGTGTACTACGGTTCGACATACGCTTACGAGTACTACGAGTCGTCCAGCGCACTACGTACGCTTTGCCGAGCCGAAGCTTTGTCACACACTCAAATACACACTCGAAAATACAATGAGTGTTACTCTTCCTTTAGCGTATACAACAGACTACCAGTACAACATAACAGCGAGCGCAATGTGTACTCATAAACAATAGCCAGTCATAGTATACATATGCTATGGCAAAACCATGTTCGCAATGGAGAGTTCGCGAACCGTCCTGAACTGCATCCTGAACTCATATAGGGGTTGTTCACGCTGGAATATATTCTTACCACATCATACATCAATCACACGCTGGGTGGCATTGGAAAACGCCACACAAACTAAATTGGGTGGCTTTAGAGCTGCGCAGGACATTTCCATTGCAGTAATGGCCGCCGTTAAACGAAGCATGTACGACGACGACTAGTGAACAGCGTGGGCTGCACTGCTAACGAGGTGAATGCAATCTTTAAAGCGCAAAGAACTTGATTCCAGCATACATACAAATAATAATCAATGAACCCTTCGCATATGCGTTGAAAGACCTCTTCGTGTCATTGGCATGTCTGAGGACACCGACTGAACGACCGAACCGTTGGGCCGAAGTATTTTTCGGTTTGCACGAATGCAAGCGATACGAATGCACGAATATGAGTAGTTTGTGTTGTTGACAGAAAAATGCAAAACAGGTGCAATATTGCTGGGGACCTACCAACCCAAAGTGGGTGGCAAGTGCTGTGGTGGTGTGGGCTATGAAAAAGGTTAATTCTACAGAGAGATACATAAATAAATGTGAACATTTTGTATTAACGTACGCTGCGTATCGAAAAATCTTTGGAAACTGCGTTTTTCTATATGCGATGAATATCGAAAAAAAAATTAATGGCGTCAAAGTGAAATGTGGCAACGTTGTAGACAAATATCTGTATGTATTTACGTGCGCTTAGTGCTTTCATGTGTATTGGCTGTGTGTGTATTGCACATATTCGAAAAACATGCGAATGTTTTTATATTCTTTATCTATGAAAAGATAAAAATTATCGTTGGTCGATTTTTGTTTTTAATTTTCGTGGCTTTAGCTTTTCAAGGTTAAATGATAAAATTGAAAAGAAATTGAAAAAATTAACGTGATTCACTCGACTGTAATCATTTAAAGTAAAAATTATCAGGCATGGTTTTTGAATTGTTTTTGAAAAGTTTTAAAATGTTTAATTTTAATTTTATTTTATTTAAATTTTTAATTTTTTTTACAATTAAACAAGCGAAACGATAGCTCAAGTCAATAAAAAAAAAACATGAAAAATTATTTTCTCGAAACTTGCGACTTGTAAGTGCATTTCGGATCGATTTACATACACGTACATATATATGTATGTACAGGTATCCGACAATGCATTCGCCAGTACGAGAAATTGCTGTAAGCGAGCAACAATTTCGAAACCAAAGCTGAAAATTTAACCAGTCAGTTGTTGGGCAGCAATATTGTGCACTCGTCGACGACAACAATAACAACAACAAAAACAACAAAACAATCAAGCAACCGACCAAGCGACCAACTAGGGGGCATTTACAACAGACTGTGAGAAAGTTTCAATGGAATGCAGTCAAACAGCAATTTGAGTACAACTTAAAAAAACACACACACATATACAAAGCTAAACAGGCACACAGGCAACAGCAAAACAATTGAAGTGGTAGCAGAAATATAAATAATAAAAAAAAATAACACTCGTAGGGAGGAGCCGAGCTCTTGTCGAATACCGTGTATATGGCGGATGTGAGCCTGGAACCGATGTTCAATATGTGGAAGACCTTACTATGCGGGTTGTGCATTTCCCGGAGGGATGAATTGTTGTTTCGATTACATTTTTGTTTGGATAAGTTTTTTGATTGGTTTGATTTTTTTTTCTTTCAAAAATAATGCTTTGCTGTGAAATGAAAATTTTACTACCAACAGGTGTACCAGCAACTGAGTAATATTTTATTTAATTTCAACTCATTACACTATCGATTCTGAATGTTAAAGTGACCAACATATTTATTAAATATGCACAAATTCTTACTATTAACGCCACCTTAAATATTCAATGATAGGCAATAACAAATCGATTTTTTTTTACAAGGCAGAGGCACAAGGACCGTGTCGAACAAACTTGATGTACCCCCAAAACATACGAGCGCTGTGCATAGAAATACTGCAATGAAACGAACTCGTTAAACAAAATGCAGCAACCAGCGACTAGCAAGCAAGCAAGCAAGCAACAAACAAACACATTGCTGCTGCTGCTGCTTCTACTGCCGCTAGTCTCGCTCTAATCGCTACAATCGCTCGCTTTGGTTGGCGAGTTGTCGTGTATACGAGAATGTACTGGAGTGGATTGTTGAGACATATGAAAGAAAGAAGTAGCAACACATTGAACCGATGTGCGCGAACCATCAATGGAAATGTGAAAAAGCCTCGTCGTAGTCGACAGACAATTTTTTTTTTGTTTTTTTTTTTTCAAATTTTTTTGTTGTTGTTGTTGTTAATGTTGCTGTTGTGTTGTAAGCACCATCCGACCACAATAGCATGAGGGGGGCTGGATTTTTTTTCTATACCACCACCCTGAGCCAGTGCAACGCTTTGGTCGTCTCATACATATGTACATATGTATGTATGTATGTACATTTACAAAGCAGCACAGAAAAGTGCAGGCGAGCAAAATGTATCTTGCAAGTAAATCGAAACAACGAGTACTAGTAGCTAGTAATATAAATACATACATACATATATATGCACATATGTATAGGTTTACATACGTTGAGTGTTGCGAAAAATGCTTTTCGTTATGTATGTATGTATGTAAATATGAATAAATATTTGGTGGTAAGCACGATTGGCGCTTGGGTGGTGATGGTATATACACATACATACATATGTATGTATGTACATACGGCAAAAAATATATATTAATCGTTTAATTGATCAAATGATTTATCGAAGGGAACAATTATTATTTGTAATTAAAAGTAAATAGTTCACAAAACGGATCGGGCAAAGATAAAAATAATTCAATGAATAAAAAAATGTATGTAGAAATTAGTTTTACTTATTGAAAATGCTGTTAGGAGCACGAAAACATTGCATGTATGCATATATGTATGTTTATGTATGTATGAGCGTAGAAATTCTTGGAAACAAATAATGATTTAACGGGTACAAAGGTTGAAATAGCTTTTCACCATTTCGTTTTACATAACCGGAAGTTGGCTGATATCCGGTGTAAAAGACTTTTTAATGACGGTATTTTTCAAGAAAAAATATGTTTGTATTAATAACAACAATTTACCGAAAATGCTAAAAAAAAACTAACCAGTCTATGAAAATTTTCCAATGCAGCAACAGCAATTGCTGAAAGGAGCTGAATATATGTACATCTGTATGTATGTATGTACAAGACAGTCGTGAGTAAAACGCCAATAAGCCAATTTTTTTTATTATTGCCGTTAATTTTCATTTTATTGTTGTTTTTGTTATCGTTATTGCCATAATGCATGTGGTAAATGGTCATACTTTATAAAAATATATTAAAAAAACAACAACAAATGCAAATTAAAAAAGCAGCTGCACAACAAGTAAACCACAATAACAGCTTTCACAATAATAGCGGAAAATACGTTTTGTAATCGCTCACAAACGGTTTTATTGCATTACCAATTAATAGGAATAAGAATTTTTATTTATAGATATTTTTTATTTTTCCGATGAAAATATAATATAAGCAACACCGTAATTAATGGAACTACGTTTTCCAATAATAATTATTGTAGTAAAAATATTAGATGCAACAAATATTCGTTTCAAAGAATTGTTTAAGCTAAAAAGTCCAACTATCAAAAATATTTTTCGATGGAAGATATAAAAATTAATTAGAACCTCAAACTTTTATAGCATACTTTTATAACAAATTTTGAATTTATTTTTTTTTTCTTTCAAATACTTACATTATATACTAAACAGCTGCTACAATCCAAATTCAATTCAATTCAATTCAATTGATAATTCAGCAAATTCTTTACTTCTCCACACAAATTCTCTCACGAACAGTTCATACACAAACGAATATTTTCGCTTCGCTTGGTTTATTTCGTCTCGAAAATGTTTTATATTTTCTCTTCGTTCAGTCAATAAATACACACGCTTAATAATATATATATATAATATTAACAAAACTTTGTTTTAACAATTTTATATAACAGTTAGTTTTCAGCAAATATTTTTCTGTTTGTTTAACAATTTTAAATTGATTTTCTTCAACTACTTTGCAGTCTTTAGACTTTTCTCTCAAGTAATAAAACAAAAAATTTTCCACCACGTTTTCTTTTTTACTCCGTACTTTTGTTACGCTTGCGTTGTTGTACGTGCGTCTTGGCACCAACAGTCTTAATACACTAGTGATACAGACAGTGGCGAGGAAACCACATTAGACCGTGGAACGAACGCTCATGGAAAACTAAGGGTAGCAGTGCTGCCAGATGAGAGTGAGTACAAAATGTGGCTATCGCGTTGAGAGTGTGGGAAAAGATGGATGAATTGCTTCAATGGTGAGGTAAACAGCAGATAGGAGATGCGATACGACAATAAAAACTTAAAGCATCTGTATTGTAAGTTATTTGTTATGCGAAAAACAAATTGTATAACGAATATTAAAGTGCTGTTCTTTGAAAGGTTGAGAATATTCGTTATTAATTTCAATAATAGTAATTTCAAAGGTAGATAACTTATTTAAAAACATAATATTTGACTGTGATTGAAGTAACTTTTAATTTTGGACAACCATAAAGCTGTCTATCAAGTCCATCAAAATCCCTTCAGCTTTAATCAACAACCACTAGATGTGATCTTATTATGGTAGTTACTTTTTAAGCAGATCGTTAAATTTTCTTTTTTATATTATTTTTATTTCTTTATTTTTTAAAAAATTTTTTTTTTTAATATAATTTATTTTAATTTAATTTAATTTAATTTAATTTAATTTAATTTTATTTTGTTTTATTTTATTTTGTTTTATTTTATTTTATTATTATTTTATTATTATTTTATTATTATTTTATTATTATTTTATTATTATTTTATTATTATTTTATTATTATTTTATTATTATTTTATTATTATTTTATTATTATTTTATTATTATTTTATTATTATTTTATTATTATTTTATTATTATTTTATTATTATTTTATTATTATTTTATTATTATTTTATTATTATTTTATTATTATTTTATTATTATTTTATTATTATTTTATTATTATTTTATTATTATTTTATTATTATTTTNTTTTATTTTATTTTATTTTATTTTATTTTATTTTATTTTATTTTATTTTATTTTATTTTATTTTATTTTATTTTATTTTATTTTATTTTATTTTATTTTATTTTATGTTATTTTAATTTGGTTTTATTTGACTTTTTTACCTTCTTATATTGAAATCAAGTTATATTTTAAAATCAGGTGATGAATTCACTTTATCTACAGTTAAAATAACGAATACTGTTAACCTGTCAAGGTTAACTTGGGTTCTTATTGGAAATGTGATGCCGAAATTTACTATTTGCGATCACCAGATCTGATGTAGTTTCCTTCTTTGGCATCTGACTAAGTTCATTCCTTACCAGCCATACCAGCCGATTAAGTCGAATTTTCAACTGATTTTTACCTCCGACTCTTTTTCAGCCGCAGTAGAAAAAATGCGTTAAATTCTGGTACCAGAAGATATTAAACTTGGATTCCGTACTCCAAATCACTGGAAGAATTAAACATAAGGTGCCCTAAATTAGCTTTGAATTTTGCTTCTTCAGTAATGATGTGGCACTTGAGCATAACCTAAACACTGCTCAAAGATGGTTAAAATTGGTTTAAAGCAAATCGTTTCAAGTATTAACAGCGCCTGCCCCAAAATTGGTATCTGAATACGATTGAAAACCTATCAGGATCTCATTATGAGGCATTATCCAGCGTGAATGATACAAAACTACTGCGGATCGAGACCGAAATCTTGAAAACTACGAGTGGAAAGTCGCTCTGAGAAACGGTCTTTCAACAAAACATTAATTAAGCGA